ATCATAAAAAATAATTTTAAAATATAAAAAGTAAGAGTTTTATATGTTAAAAAAAGTAAGACATAATTTTGGAATATTCCCAAAAATAAAGATGGATAAAAAAATAGGACAGAGGGATTTTTTTTAATTTTTAATTAAAGGATTAATGAAAGGTAAAATTTTATTGAAGGTTGCAAGTATTGATACATTAAACTTTTGAAGATCATGAATAGAAATGAAATATTAATAAAAGTAGTGGATGACAAATGCAATTTTTACGGATTATTGATGAAAATGAGATATTAGTAAAAGTCGTAGATAATAAATATAACTTTTAAAGATTTTAAATAAAATGTATACATGGATAAAAGGTCGTATGTCATCAATGAATTTTGCTCATTATTTATAAAAGAAAACAATTAACTTACATAACAAACTCAACATAATATATACAATTATATTAAACAAAAGTAAAAAGTTTACTATTGAGGATCGAGAGCGAAGAAAGAATAGGCATCACTAATATCTTTGATCAAATGCCAGTTTCTACTAACCATTGGAGAAAATTAATTAATCAAACTTGCATTCATACACTTAATCTAAAACTAATAATGAGAAAGCAAACAAAAATTTCAACAATCTACTATTAAAGCATTAACATTAAAAACAATCCCAAATAAAGTCTGCTGAAATGTTGTTGTATGAAATTTTTAAGAATCATTATGAAAATGAAATATTAATAAAAGTTTGTGTACGGTAAATAGTTTTCTAGAAAATAAATTTTTATGCTATTCCATTAACTTTTAAAAAAGGTTTTATCTATTTTTTTATCTTCAAATTAATAATGACTCTCCTACCATAAATCTTATTTATGGAATTTGTTTTTTTGTTAAACCTCAATAGATTGCTTTTACTAATTAAGTGGTTTTTATTCTATATTAGAACTCTATCAATTAATTAAAATCAAAATTAAAAAGTATACTGGAAAACTAATGAAGATTAATTAATTAATCAAAAAATCCCAAATCAGATTACTTAACTATATGAAAGCTAAACTCTCACATTCATACTACAATTCTTTTATTATAATATTATAACTATTCAATAATAATAAAAAATTATGTAAGGGTTTATCACTTATAAGTATGGTCTCTATATAAATTTTTTATAAATCCCATACAATTTTAAATTATAATTGGTTTATTACTTATAAGTGTGTAAATCTACTCATTTTCCTTCCATTTTCTTATTTCCTTCATACGAAACGAAAGAAATGATGAAAAGAAATAGTTTTTCTTTATTTCCTCTTTTCTTCTACCAAACACAGTTTTAACGCCATGCATATAAATCCAATCCCTTTAAATGCAGATGAGAATTGGGGGGAGTTTGGTCTTGGGTTGCAATTTGGAAGGTTGGATGCATTATTTAGAGGTTGAACATTAAAAGCAAGGCCACATTTATGGGATTGCAATTAAATGCATGGCGTTAAAACTGTGTTTGGTAGGAGAAAAGAAGGAAAAAAAAAAAGGAAAATTATTTCTTTTCATCATTTATTTCGTTTCATATGAAAGAAAATGAGTGAATTTATACATTTTCCTTTCCTCAAAATTGGATACATATTATTTATAATTATTGTAGTATAATTAATCAATTATAATTGATAATTATAGATGTGAGATTGATCAAAATTTTATATGAAACTCATACTTATAAAAAACATATCACCTGTAATAATTTTACTACAATTAAATAATCAGATTTAGAGTTATGTAGATTCTACCAAAATATTATGTGGAATCCACTCTTATAAGTGGTAGATCCTCACAAAATTCTTAATTATGATTAAACAATTGTAGTATTATAATAAAAAAATTATAGTTAAAATGCTCCCATACTTACAAACAATAATAACTAATCCTAATGACCCTACAAGGTAACCAAGATTTTTTTTTCTTTTCAAAAAGCCCAAAATAATCCGATACATATTGCTGCAGATCCAATTTTCGTCCACCTTACCATCTTGCTAAGCTCCACTTTATCATCACCAAAAATACCCTCAACACTACCTATTAAAACACCAACATTAAAACAATCCATATTACGTAATTATCAAAAACCAAGCTCATTTTTAAAACCATAAATAAATATAAGAACAATGATGTGAAACAAATTAGAATTTCAACTACCTACAATTAATGCACTAAATCTAAAATCAATAGAAAATCATATTACATTGCTATCAAAAACCAAATTCATATATTCACACCAGTAATGTAAAAATAATAATAAGATGAAACCAAATTAAACTTTCAACAACCTACAATAAAGCCCTAACTTTCATGTACAAGTCTCATAACTGAAGTAAACCAATATGAAAATGAAAGGACATTTGGAGATGATGACAAATTAATGTTTATAACTAAATAAATCCGTAGAACCAATTTGCGTGGCTTATTTTCAATTAATAATTTTTAAAATTCCATGGAGATTTTAACCTAAATCAAAGTATGAAGGAGGAAAAACAAAAATAATCTCTCTTAAGGCTAGAGTAAGACTAATAATCAATTTCAATACATGATTACAATCAACTAATCAAATATATCATTAAAAAATAAAATACATCAAGAATTTTTCATTTTTCATTTTGTTCGTTGATTCGTACTGTGTTTTAGAGATTCTTTGTTTTCATTGTTGATCAGTCATTGCTTGTTTGTCCTTAGTGGTTGAGATTTGGTTTGTGATTTGAAACGTTGGATGCATTACTTGGAGGTGGAACATTAAACGCAAATCTACATTTATATGGGGATTGCATTTATTGCATGGCGTTAAAACTGTTTGTTGAAAGCCAAAATAATTGTTGAAAGAGACAAAATTATGATGCGTTAACATCCCAGCATTTGGAATTTGAGATGATTTGGCATTCGAATTTTGGGATATGTACAAGAATTTTAGGAGATGGGAGATGTTTATCTCTCATTGTGTGATCCAAAATACACCTAAAAAAATATATAATAATAATAATAATAATTATAATACTTTAAAAATTTTACAAATAATTATAAAATGTTTGCAAAAAAAAAAAATTCATATAATCAATTGCTTTTATATTTTTTTTCCTGAAAGCATAAAAGTATGCGCGTTAATTAATCCCTCATCATTTTTTTAATCTAACTTATAAAAATGAAGTAACAATAATCTATATTATTATATAAATATGGCTTGGGCCTTAGGGTGTGAAATTTTTATAAAATCTAGCTTCTTGATCGCTACGTTGCACATGATTTATTGTGTTATTTATAAAAGAAAATCAATTAACTTACATAACAAAATAAACATATAAACACAATTATATTAAAGAAAAAGAAAATTTTACTTATCAAAGAACAAGTTTGAAGGAACGGATACCGATCACTATTTTTTTTTTTGGATAAAATGCCAATTTCTACGAAGAAAATTAAAAAAAAAAATTCACTGATTGGAAGTCAAAGCCAAAGAGAATAGTTTTTCTGTATGTTATTCCATTAACATTTAAATAAAATCTTGTCCAATTTTTTTTATTTTATCTTTAATGTGATAATAACTCTCCTACCATATACCTTATTTTGTTTTTGTTTTTCTTGAACTTAATGCAGATTAACTTTTGCTAATTAAGTTGGTTCTGTTCTACATTAGAACTATAAAGGAAGCAATTTAATTTAATTTAATTTAAACTCTATTAATTAAATACATTAATTCAAAATTAAAAACTATAATGAAAAAATAATGATAATTAATTAAGTAATTAAAAATCCTTAATAAGATATACATATCTATCAAAAACCAAAGTCACAATCATACCCGTAATGTAAAAATAATAATGTGAAAGCAAATCAAATTTTCAACAACCTAAGCACTATTAAAGATTAACATTAAAAACGATAAATTATACATTTACCCCTACAGTTTTCATTTTTTTATTTTGATCACTTAGTTACAAGAAAATCACAATTTGATCAACAACATTTTTCAAATTTATTTTTTGGTTATTAAGCTTTTAGAGGCTAATAGCTAATTGAATGGAATAATTTCATAAGTTTTATCATTCTTTAGTTGTTAGTCTTCGGAGATTTTGGTGAGATTTTTTAGTTAAATTTGGAGTTTTTGCTCTCCTCTTTATCTTTCATTTACAATTTTATCTATATTTAATGTGTAATATATAGTTTCAATCCCATTCACCAAAAAATGCAAATTCAATTTGAACTACTTTCACTTTTGTGAAGACAATGCAAGGATGGATGCTATCTATTCAAGGGTTTGTTGTTGTTACTGTGAGTTCCAAGATGTCTTGTACCAAAATAAGGGGTAGCACCAAGCAAAATTTTCTACAAAAAATTGATTTTAAGTAGAATAAATTTTTATTGTTTGGAATCAAAATAACATTATTTAATTTTATATAAATATCATAAGATATGATACAAAATATTTTTCTTTATATTATATAAGTACATCTTTATCTACAACATTTTTATTTTTTCACTACTTCACATTAAATTTTTTTATTTTTTATATAAAATTATTAGTTATATATATATATATATATATATAAAATTGAGTTACAAATTGTTTTTCTTCTAGCTTTCAACGTCTTTTCCCTTGTCGTAAACAACATGCTAATAGTGTGAAAAGAAATATATTATATCTTAATTAAAAAATTAATTAGTTCAAGGATTGACATAAAAAAGGGTCAAAATGTACATAGAAAAACGTTGCTTGTTCAATTTGTTGTTTTAAGTATAGTTGTAGAAGTAGGCCGAGTTGATTTCAATTTTGTCTCAATTGAAACCGACGCAATTTTTTATTTTATTTTAATGAAAATTCCTTCCATCCCAATCTGAATTAATACAAATAGAGAATAATTCAACTTGAGCAACTGGAAAAATTAATCTAAAAATCAATAGTAACTTGGGAAGAATCTACTTTGCTCTGTTGAAATAAATTTACATCACATCACATCGACTTTGCAGAACTTCAGACAGAGAGAAATGGAAGCAGTCATTGCTTCGGTCGGTGAAAAAGCTGGCGAGTTCGCATTTGATCTCATCAAACGTGAGGTAACCTATATATCAAACTATAAAAGCAACGTGGAGAATCTGAAGGAGGGATTCGACGAGCCGAAGGATGCAAGACAGAGAGTGAAGCATTCTGTTGATGCAGCTAAAACGAAAGGGCGTAAGATTTATAAAGATGTGGAGAAATGGTTGTTCATGGTGGACGAGGAGACCTCTGAGGAGGCTGCAGCCAAATTAGAGGATGAAGAGAAAGCGAAGGAAAAGGTGCTTCATCGGATTCTGTCCTAATTTCAAGTCTCGTTACCAGCTCAGCAAGAGAGCAGAGAAGGAGGCCGATTCCATTGCTCAACTATTAGGAAAAGGCCGATTCGATAGCGTCTCATATCTTCCTGCTCTCAGACATGTCAATGGATACGACGCCTTTGCATCAAGAACCGGTGCTTTGAATGGGGTCATGGAGGCATTGAAAAATGATGATTCCAACATAATTGGAGTGTATGGAGTGGGTAGAGCAGCCATAACTAGACTAGTAAAACAGTTTGCTAGACTTGCCATGGAGAAGCAGTTGTTTGATGAGGTGATCATGGCAGCTATAACACAAACTCCAAACATTGAAAAAATCCAAAACGAGATTGCTAAGAACTTAGGCCTGAAATTTGATGAGGCGAGCCTGGATGCAAGGAGGTTTCAGCTACGTGATCGACTCAAGAAACAGAAGAAGGTTCTTATTATTTTGGATGATATTTGGGTGACATTGGATTTGAATGTTCTTGGGCTTCCTTCTAGAGGTGAGCACATGGGATGCAAGATCTTGTTGACATCAAGAAATTTCAATGTTTTATCCTCGATGGGTATTCAAAAACCTTTTGCAATCAGCATTTTCAAAAAACAAAAATCATGGAACCCGATTAGAAACATGGTTAGTGACATTGTTGAAAGATCTAATCTGTATTTTACAACAATTGAAGTGGCCCAAAAATGTGCAGAACTTCCAGTCGCCATTGCAACAATTGCAAATACTTCGAAGAATAAGAAAACTTTGTTTGAATTGAGGAATGTTTTGCAAGAGCTAAAAAGGCCTTTGTTTCAGAAACTCCAAAAGCAAACAGGGTGACATATATCCAACAGAGGCTGCAAAAGGTTGGGTTTGGGCAGATTCTGGTCAGGTTGAATTCTTTTTTGGATCACTTCGGCTCTTAGTTGATTTCGGATTTAGATCATTTCGAGTGCGGATTATTTCAGGGTCGAATTATTTTGGGAACGATTTTTTTCGAGTTTATATTGCTTTTGAATCCGGATTATTTCAAGTTTGGGTCATACCCAATGCAATTTAAATAGTTTTGGGCTAAATTCAAGTCAATTAAGTATTAATCCAATTTCATGTAATCTTTTTGGTGAATTAAAGTTAATGGTTTAACTTGTTTGATGTTGTTACAAATTCTTATTTAAACTTTTAAAATAGCCAAATTATTTAGATATAATATTAATTTAATTTAAAGAATTCACTTTTTGAATAATAAATAACACAAATATACAATAAAAAATAAAAATAACACAACAAATCATGACGTAAAGATCTTACAAGAATAATCTTTGTTACTTTGTAAGACTCCGTAGTTAAACTAAAACAAATCGATTCTTTATTAAGTTCAGTTTGATTTAAAAACTTGAAATTTAAAATTTAATTTAAATTCAATTGAGTTTTAATTTTTATATTAAAATTTAACATATAATTTATTCGAGCAATTCTAATTTGATACTATAAGAATAAGTAAAATTATAAAATATAAACATTAAATATTATATTTTTATTATTTATTTATTATGCATATTAATGTATTAAAATATATTTAAAAAATAAAGATTCAATTATTATGTCTTCTAGCAATTGAAAGAGTAATTGCATGATCACTGAATGCTATATACTTCTATTATTATGTCTTCTAGATAAAAATAAAAGAAAATATGAACAAAAAACATTCAGAGAGAAATAAATCACGTCAGGCTATTCATCGGATCGTAGAGAAACCAAAAGGATGGACTTGAGTATTTTTATAGTTAGCGTTAGCAGAGTTAAAAAGTGTTTTTAAGCACATGAAACTTAAGAATAAGTGAACCATTGGGAATAAATTGTAAGAGCAGCACAAAACCATTAGCAGGTTCCCCAAGATTCCATTAAACCATCAAAAGTTTTGGCTAATTCTTTAAGCAGGCAAATTTACTTGACAAGACATAGGTTGAAGGTTCATGTTTAAACCCACCACATGCTAGACACCAACCTTACTCTTGCCCCCCCCCCCCCCCCCCCCCTTATCAACGTGTAACACATAAACAGATTAACCATTATAATGCCAATGCATGAGGAATCATACGTGTAATGAAGGTTTATTTATATTCCAAGATCTGTTATGTAAGCCACATTCCTCCAACACGCACAAAATTGACAGCCTAGCCATGACTTCTCTATCTGTTTTTCACCAACACCTAATTCAATCACCTCAATTTGCTTTTCCACCGTACTGTAATTACACAAACCAATATAGCTACTAATACTTTTATAATATAGTAGCAAGATCATATGTTCCATCAATTGAAAGTTAAAATACCAGTAGAGCTTTAACTTTTTTGTTCATAAAATCTTACTGACAATCTTAGTTTAATATACAAGGATAAGATACTGTTGCAATAAAAAAGACAAAAAGATATTTCTCTTGATTGCTCATTTCTGGGTTGTGCCAACCTTTAAGCCAGCCCAATAGTTTCCATCAAGCAGAGCAGTAAAAGCAGTAAGGTAAGCCTTTTCCTGCTAATAAAGCCTAGGGTGCAGTATGATCCACTACTGCACCACTATCCTCTAGTCAAGACAATATACTCAATAAACTCAGCAAAATTCAGATTCTTTTTTTGTAGTTCAGTTCCCTTTGCAACTAAATATGTCTAAATGGTAACATAGTTAAATTTCGCTATTTAAGGCTAAGTAAATCAAGTTAAATTTGAACCATGAAAACAGCTAGAAGTGTAATGTGATTAACAACTGTGTTATAAGGCTAGCTTGTTTGGCAATAGTTTCTGCATATTCTGTAAATGTCTAGTCAACAAACAGTTGTAATCCATCAGCAGGAGGGGAGCAAAAAAGATGGTTAAGTTGTATTGTTGTTAATTAGAACCCATGTAGATGTGGAAAGTATGTTTAAGGAAGATTTATCTGCACCCTTATGCTTCTAGGGCAATTAATGGTTGTACATATGTGATCTAACTTTCATTGATACTTTGGATGAAATTTCGGTTCATTACATTGCACATGCTCTGTGTGTGTTTGCATACTTAACCATCTGTAATCCATTTGTACAAACATATCCAGAATATAGAAACAGTAAATACTCAGCATCACAAATGCAATAAATTACCTAAATTTAAGCACATAATGTCCAGCCAAATTGTGGATCTTTAACAAAATCTCAAACATAGCAAAGCAATTCAATAAGCATGAAGAAACTTCAATGTCCTATTCTGTTACATAACCACTCATAGTATCATTTCCTTTTTAATATAATGATTATGCAATCAAGTAATTAATATCAAAAGAAGATCAAAGGAAGAAAATCTAAGTCACAACAACTAGTACTAGAGGTTATTGCATTATAGGGCTCAATTTGGTAAATGAATCAGTTCTAGCTATTCCCAAATTCATGAATCCTTTTTTTTCTAAAATTTACAGCACCATCTTCCTTTAGATCCAAGAACTCAACTAAAAAAATGAGGTTACAATATTAGAAAAGCAATCAGTCATTTTCACAAAAGACTAATTGTTTAATTTAGAAACATTTCATATCTGGTTGCACAAAAACTATACTATCAGTGACAGAAAATTCTCTCAATATTGTCATAACGTCTAGATCCGGGGATCTATCGCTAGACATTGACTTTTAGGGAGTCGCCACCAATCTTTTTTTATCTAGGTGCGATTGGCCACCTATGGAATCTGTCCTTTCAGGGAACACCTAAGCTTAAGGGTCCCTAAAAAATAGGTTCAGGTCTACAAACCAGAACAGGGTTCGGGAGTTCGGTTACATGTGAGAAAGGTTATAGCACCCTCACAACGCCCATCAAAAGATGGTACCAGCTTAAATTTGTGTTATCCAAAAGCCTTAAAATTTTACCAAGTAATTAATTATTGAAAATTATTCTCAATTGACTCTAATACTTTTAGCAGAAAATTGAGAAAATTCCCTCACCTCAAGAGTATGCAAGAAAAACTACTGTTTCACTTACAGAGGCTCCGTCGTCGGATTATTTAAAAGAAAAAAAACAAAATCAAAATTAAGATAGAAAGGAAGGAAAGAATGATTTTTTTTTTGTAGGGAAAATTGATACTTTCAACTTTTCCTCAAAAACCCTTTTTTTGAAAATTTATTTCTAAGGAAAATTGATACTTTTAATTTTTCCCCGAAAATATTTTTTTTTTGAAATTTTGATTTTCAAGGAAAATTGATACTTTCAACTTTTCCCCAAAAATATTTTTCGGAAATTTATTCTTAAGGAAAATTGATACTTTCAACTTTTCCCTAAAAATATATATTTTTTGAAATTTATTTTTTTTTTAAGGAAAATTGATACTTTCAACTTTTCCCTAAAAATATTTTTTTTGAAATTTATTTCTGAGGAAAATTGATACTTTCAACTTTTCCCCAAAAATATTTTTTTTGAAATTTATTTCTGAGGAAAATTGATACTTTCAACTTTTCCCTAAAAATATTTTTTTTTGAAATTTATTTCTAAGGAAAATTGATACTTTCAACTTTTCCCTAAAAATATTTTTTTTGAAATTTATTTCTGAGGAAAATTGATACTTTCAACTTTTCCCCAAAAATATTTTTTGGAAATTTATTTCTAAGGAAAATTGATACTTTCAACTTTTCCTTAAAAATATTTTTTTTTGAAATTTATTTCTGAGGAAAATTGATACTTTCAACTTTTCCCCAAAAATATTTTTTGGAAATTTATTTCTAAGGAAAATTGATACTTTCAACTTTTCCCTAAAAATATTTTTTTTTGAAATTTATTTCTAAGGAAAATTGATACTTTCAACTTTTCCCTAAAAATATATTTTTTTGAAATTTATTTCTAAGGAAAATTGATACTTTCAACTTTTCCCTAAAAATATATATATTTTTATTTTTATTTAAAGAAAATAAAATAATAAATAATAAATAAAAATAAATAAAAAGAATATTACATAAACCTAATCTAATAAATAAAAAATAAAACAAACAAATAAACAAAGAAATAAAAAGAAATTCAAAGAAAAAAAAAAAAAATCTGGAGCGGCTCGGGTCACGGCTCGGCTCGGCTCGGCTCAAGGAAGAGAAAACGGCTCGGGGGGAGCGGCTTGGCGGCTTGGCTCGGCTCGGCTCGACTCGGAGGGTGGCTGGCACGCTCGGGTCAGAAAGCGGGTCGACGCCCGGGTCGGGTCGGGTTCGGCAAAACGCGCGGATCCTCTGGGTTACTTAAGGCCAAAACGACGTCGTTTTGGGAGGGTATAAAAGGCAATCCCCTTCGTTTTTTCAACAGAACGCTCCTCCCTCTCTCTCTCTTCTTCCCTTTTCCTCTCCCTTCTTTCTAAAAACTGAAGAACACCGGTGCCGAATTCTGGAAAATTTTGCCGAAATCTAGAAATTTCGTCGGAAGTTGGCCGGAAGATCACCGGTTTCTGGGAATCTTCACCGAAAACTGGGCTGGTCGTCGGAAACTTCAATGTTCGCCGGAATTGTTGCCGGAAAATTCAAATTTCGCCAGAATTTTCGCCGGAATCTGGAAATTTCTGGGAAATTTCCAAAAAAATTTTTCGCCAAAAAATCTCTAAAAATTTTTTCTCACTCCCAGAACACTCCTAAACTTTTCCTAGCTTCCTATACGCCTCATTTTCTCTCAAATCAGTAGCTTTGCTTCCTGTTTTCTGTGTGTTTTCATTCTGTTCCAGGAGGTGCTTTATATAGGGATTGATCAGGAGTTTCTGATCAATCCCAATTCCCCTTTGGACGGGAATTCAATCTTTGAATCCAGTCTGGACTCTTCTGATTGAATTCCCACTCCCAGTGGGATTCTTCAACTTTC